CAAACAGTATGTTCGTAGAAAAATCTACAGCCGTACAATAACCTAAACAGAAATATGCCTATCTCCGTGCGCGCAAAAACGGCGGGAAAACAGCCTATCTCCGACAGTTTTATGTTATTTCTTGATCGATCAAGGCTGTCCGTTGTTTTTATCAGGAAAATCAGTTTTTTCGACGATTCGACTCGATTGTTTACTCCAAATGTCAACATGAATGAGAGGTAAGTAGTTTGCATACATTTTTATTGTAATAATAGTACTAGAACTGACTAAATTATATTATTATAGATTGATATGGAGTTAGGCAGTTTTCTATGAACATTTTTGAGGGAGTTAGGCAATATTATGAGCTTACTGTAGTGAAATCAAATACAGAAAGTTTTTGAGATCATAATTAATGTTCTGCTTAATTTCAGATGCAGACCTGTTTCCCGAGCCATGCAGATGGTTCTCATGGCGAAAAACACTCCTCTAGGAGATAATACAGTTCAGAATACGGATATGGATTTAACCATAGATAACCACGTAGAACTCGGTGTTGACACAACTGTTTCGTTAGAAACAAGCAATATTTCTGATACGAGTCGACTGATTCTAGAAAATGACATTTCAGCATTGTGCGTAATGTCTGACGAGCAGATTTTAGAAATTGTCGATGAAAATCTTCAGATTTTGGAGGAAGAAATCAGTAATGCGGAGAAAAATCTAACGCTTTTGAGGTACGAAAAGAAGACGATAATGAGCAGGAAATTGAAAGTCACCTGAACACAGTGGAAAATAATATGGAAATAATCGCGAAAACTACAGAAAATCCCAACACGATCACTGAAATAACAGTAAGAAGAAGATCAAACGTTAAAAATTCTCTGAGGGACTGGGATCAGAAGATTAACCAGAGGAAGAGGGAAAAGGGAGTGCAGTATAAAGGCAAAAAGAAACAACCAGAAGGTTGGACATATGACCGACCGCGGCTCAGTAGGTTTTTAGCTGATCCATGTCACTTCAAGAGGGGAAAGAAGGGGGAAACAAAGTTTAAATGTTGTACCGTTGGGGAAGAGCGACGGCGAAAGATTTTTAATACATTTTGGAATAAAATGTCCTGGCCTGAGAACAAAATATTTGTGAAAGGTTTCGTGAAGATCGATAAAGTTAAGAGAAGACGGGGAACCAATGATATTTCCCGTAGAAATTATTCGATGACATATACTTTGAAAAACGGTCTAAAGGATGTTATGGTTTGCAAGAATATGTTTGTCGGTACCTTAGGACTGAAGGGAAGAACTGTGGTTGAGTGGGTTAAGGAACATTTAGAAAACATAGAAAGTACTGAGATAACAGAAGGTCCACCGATAAATAGAAAAAGCATTGTTAAACAGACTAAACTGGAATCATCTAATACTGGAGTTTTACAGTTTTTCGGCAGCCTTGCAAAGATGGAAAGTCATTACTGCAGAGCAACCAGTAAGAAAGTATATCTGGAGCCGCTGTGGATTTCAAAAGCGTCTCTTTACAAATTTTATAAGTCTGAGTACTGCATAGAGAATAAGGTACAACCAGTTTCACAGGCAAAGTTTGATACAACATTTAAAGAACTTAATCTTTCGCTTTTTCGTCCAAAAAAGGATGAGTGCGATGTTTGTGTCGGTTACCGCACATCTAATGTTAATCCAGAAAACTATAAGCTACATCAAGAATTAAAAGAAGAAGCTAGTGCAGAAAAGGCCTCAGATAAGCTATCCAGCGATGCAGTTGTGTTTGCTGTAGATTTACAATCTGTTCTACTGAGCCCAAAAACCAATGTGTCAAATATGTACTACAAAACTAAACTTATCGTGCATAATTATACAATTTATAACTTAAAAACCAAAGAGGTTTACTGCTATCTATGGACTGAGGCTGAAGGACAGCTGACCTCAAACGAATTCTCCTCAATTCTTGTACATTTTCTAGAAACAGAGGTCATTCCCACACTGGATCGTTCCAAAAAGATTATTATTTACAGCGATGGTTGCACAGGTCAGAACCGTAACGTAACTCTAAGCAATGCACTCCTCCACGTTGCGACATTGCACAAAGTGATAATTTTGCAAAAATATCTTTTGAAGGGTCACACGCAAATGGAGGTAGACTCTGTTCATTCAGCTATAGAAAGAATAGTAAGAAAAGTAAAGATAAATTTACCAGCAGATTATGTTGAAATATGACTAAGAGCACGAAGCAATCCATTTCCATACAATGTCAATTATTTGACTCATGATTTCTTCAAAAACTTTTCAACTGTCCAATACTACAGCTCTATTCGACCAGGCAAAACTGCGGGCGACCCAATGGTAGTTGATATCAAATCTTTAAAATATGAAGATGGCTCAATTCAATTTAAATTGCGACCCTCAGAGAATCTTTGGAGTGATCTCCCCAGAAGGGTTGTGAAATCTATTCCCAACGACATTAATTATGGTACCTTACCTAGGCTGTTTGAGAGGAGATTGAAAATTAAAAAAGAAAAATACCAACACCTCATGGTACTCATGAAAGGCATAGATAAAGAGTATCATAATTTTTATCTCAACCTACCTCATGCATGACAATGTTTAGCGTTCTTGTGAGTTAGAATTACTTATTTCATTTTCATTTTGCCATTGATGTGGATCTCATTCTTATTTGTGCAATGTTCTTGCTGGTCTTATATTTTTTATAATAAAGAAATGTCTTATTTTGATTTTTAAATTAATAAAAATTGATTTTTTCAAGTTTCTTTCGTGTATTTCTGGAATGATAGAAATTTGCCTATCTCCTCTCTTATTATCAAATATTAAGCAGATATTGGCCTAACTCCACGTTGAGTGTGAAAAATAATAAATGTAATGAAAAACGGATTGCTAGCCTACTAATTATACCATTGCAAAGTGGTTAGGTGCATAAAATCAATATCCTTATGGTAAATTATTTCTACAAATAGTTTTTTGTCTCTCCTGTAAAATTTGCTGAACTGGACTTAGGCAGTTTTCTTATTAGGGCGACGATATGTATAGGGATATTAAAATAGACTTGAATACAATCATAGATCGGTTCGCCAGCAAAAAGAATAGGCGCCTTGATTTTGTAATATGATAACACCTGAACTTTGCCTAAGGTTGTCTCTCAAATCCATCTCCCTTCTGTTGGCCAATAAATTAAAAGCAGATGTAGTTAAGGGTTTACATACGTTTAAACCACCACGGTGATCTATTCCAAAGCATCCAGTCAAGATACGTGGTTTGATTTATTGGCCAGCAGATTGATATAAAAGTCTGTTCAAATTCTGTTCAAATCACTTTCTAAGCTAATGTAAGGATTGTTTTATTTTGAAGTCGTAACATATTTGTTATTGTGATTTTTTCATGAAGGTGTATTTTTTGTTTTTTGTCTGACATTGTTTTGTATTGTTTTAATATAGGAAGATTGCTGGAGCTTGGTTTGCTTTATTTACACTATGATATCGTCTGATTCAAAATTAAAAAAAATTTATGTATTTTCTACAGAAATTACTGTAACAAATTCATATGTCTGTATATGTCCATGCTTTTAATGTTAAATCATTATAACACACAGAATGTCACACTGAGAATTTTCTTTCGATTTTACCCCTCCCAGACTGAAATCCTGGGAGCTCCACGGTCTTTAACATTTCTATGATGAATGAACGGGAACGCAGACATTATGTCTGGTAATTTGTCTGTATCATTGTTGTCGTAGGTGCTCGCCTACTGTTTTCACAGTTTTGATAGCCATTAAGCAAGGTATCAAGAGATACACATACATGTTTATTTTGAAATAAGTCCGCTATACAAGACGAAAAAATAAAATGTTACATACTTTCGTTGGAAAAGTACGCTGACACTATTTTCAACCCCGATAGCAGGAAATATTGATCAAATATCTTTTAAAAATGTTCGCTAAATATTTGTGGCGACAGATTTTTCAATATTTAAGAAATAAAATTTTTATATATTCATAAGATATTCAGTGTAGATATTTGTACTATATAATTTACTTATTTTCGCGATATTTTGCCAAATATTTAAAAAATATGTGAGGAAAGATTTTTAAATATCAATTTTATATTTTGACGATATAACTAATATTTTTCGTAAATATTTAGGAAGTATATGAAGCAATACATTTTCCAGCGTTAATCTAAGACATATTACCAGTACATTTTTGAGAATTTTTCATTGGTTATTTAAGCAAAATCTGTAGAATGCTTTTCAAAAATTAGGTTTATAAAGAAAATGCATTCTTGATGTAATAAATGTTTTAATTTGCTAGAAAAATATCAGAGACCTTTTCTGCATCGTGTAAATCCATGCCTCTAAAAAAACTTACTAGTTATGAAGTATTAATACTTAAACTGCTTTCCAGTGTTTTTGTGTTCGGGAGTGATTTCTTCTGAAATGCTCTAGAATACGTGTATATATGGGAATATAAAATACAGTGGAACGATATGGATGCTAAAAAATTCTGAGTTACTCCGAGTAACTCAACTGGGTCACTGAAAAACAGGTCTATAATTCACCTAAAAGGACTCATCGGCATATACATCTTATAGGAGTTTGAGATGTGGTAATTTTAATCATTTAGAGATATCAGTCACTAAATCACATATCTTGGAATATCCCCCACCACTAGCATCTGTTATATGATTAGCATCGGCCGCATCTAGTGGTGATTCGTTAAATGCGAACTGGGATATAGTTCCAACAGAGCGGCTGGTGTTTTACTCTCGCAGTGGTCGATTCTGTGCAGTCTTATTTCGATGGACTTACATCCAGGATATAGGATAGTCGCTCAGCTCTCGTTCGTTGTCCTACCTAAGAACAAGCTTAGACCCTGTTAATGAGTTGCCAAAAGCACGTATCAGCTGTCCATGGCTGGCCGTCCGTGGTCGAACGCACGGAAGCGATATTACTAGTTTTTTTATATGTTTTGATAATAGATACATTGTATTATTGTTTTTGTTTCAGATAAGAATGGATCTATTCCAACAATCTCTGGTACTCCAATAGACCTCAAGGATTTCTTGAAGATTTGCGAGCAGCGAAAGAAGTTTCCGGTTCTCTATAAACTTGAATTTCAGGTAAGTTACATCCAATAACTCAAACATGTCTCATTTGATATTTCTTAACATTTTTCACTGTAGTGCTTTTGAGAAACTTTGTTTACGTACTTCGTCTTCATTACCTAGCGGATGTCGGACAAAACAATTTGTGACAAACATTTAGTCGATATGAGGTTTGAATTCATCTGACGAATGATGACAGCCTAATATTTGCACCCTTGCCAGGTCTCGTTTGACCTCGCATGACACAGATTGCTCTATCTGGCCGATGATGACTCATCTTCCATATCTGTTCCCTTCTTCATCGTTTCTCAGAGCGGTACGAAGGACTTGGTACAGTATCGTGGGTCAGAAGGTCTGTCAGGGCTGGCTGCCAACATACCAGACAAAGTTAGGGAGAAAGAACAAAATTATAATATATTATGCGTCCGTTTGTGGATTGTTAACTAGAGTTTTAGAATTTTAGAGATTCGACGTTGTGGAAGAATTGTAAAATTGATTGGACGATATAAGTCCAAGTCGTGGAATTATGCGTGACAGATTAGTCTACTGGCTACGCAACAAAGGGCTGCTGTGCGATTTCGCTTGACCACCACATCTACAATTTTTAAAGTTTCGAACATGAAAATGAAATTTAAAAGGTGGTGAATGTACCCGCTTCTATATGTAGTGGCGGTGGAGTTGTTAGCAAATCTGTACATTCCGAAATTTTAGTAGATATGATTTTAATCTATGATCATAGACAGAAGATATCGGCCAGAATTACCTTTTTGAAAAATCCTAAATATCATTTGTGTTTATGTACTTCCTGATCCATTTTGGGCGAAAACAAAATGGGCTAATAAATCTAATCTTTTTATTTATTAAGCGCTTTCGTGCAACTTGAAAAACAGCGAACGGATTCAGAATTTGCAGGTGTGTAATTCGGAGCAGACTCTCTTTTCTGTTTTCCCGATAACGTTGCCCAGTCTAAGAAAATATTCAACCACACGAGGGAGAATAATTCTTTCATCGAAAATTTAATTTCTTTCGATTCTGCGCGAGTCCAGCATGTCCATAATGCCAAATTTTGCGGCCTAGGCCGTTAGTGGATGAGTTTTTGTCACTACAGCCGGTTTTGACTGAAACTTGACCTCTACAACATCGTGGTCGCAGTTAACCAGGGTAGACAGAACAGCTGTAAGGGACAGGGTGTGTGGTCAGGAAGAGATCCAGAAGAATACTGGCGAGTGATGAATCGCAGGGGAGGGCTCGTACCAGCTGGATCAGTCCTTGGACAATTGCAAACGCTCCAACAGAACGACCTGCTGAATTGCCCTTGTTTGAGTCCGACGGGGGCTCATTATGGGCATTGAAATCACGGAGAAGAACTACATCTGAAGCAAGGTGATTGGCGTTCAAGAAGTCGATCTTGACAACGAGGTATTCAAGTAGGTCATACCAGTTATGGTCGGAGGGAGAGCGTTAGAGGCGGCAAATAAATTTGGGGGATGGTCTGGTGTTGAGACGAAGCCACATAATATCAGTCCGGTCTGATTTCAAAGAAACGTCTCTGGAGCAGGAAAGACTGCTGCGGACAAAAGCCACAACTCCTCCGTTCTTCCTCAGATTGGAGTGCAACCCATAGTTTGGAAAGCCAGTCGGTGTAAGATCGGGAATAGTGCTAAAGTGGCCCGTTGGCGGACATATACCGGCACCCAGCAATCGGTACTGAGGTATTCCTTAATGCGTGTACAATCACTTGAACGAGAGCAAGTTGCATGCTGAGAGCAACAACTTCCAGAATAAGCTTTAGTCACGGCCCCGCCTAGTAGAGGGATCTATGATCAATCCCATTGGAACTGGAGAAAAGCAGACTAGCAGCGACTTCCTCTCTGACCTGGAGGTTACCATTGATATACTTTAATGGCGCCAAAACACAGTACTGTGCCTTGTGCAGTTGCGATGGATGGTCGAGTTCCACCAAAAATCCATTCATTCCGGCTGATCGGAATCCAAATCACCGAGGACTTATTCTGGCACAAACATATCTCATCATTAGCGGCAGCTGCTGGGAAAAACCTAGCCTAGTTGTTTATTGCTAAGAAGTATATTTCACCACATGATCTCCTCACTTTGTACAAGCCCCCAGATAAAACCTAACCTCGAGTACTTCTCACATGTTGAGGATGCTGGCGCAACTGACTACGTTATCCATGCTCGATTCTCTTCTCTAATGGATAGCCTCGCACCGAGGCACTTTCGGCGATCTAGCTCTCTTCTACCGATATGTCAACGGGCTTTGATTCTCAGACCTCTCCTCCATGATGCTGCCGCGCGATGTGCATACCACTCAGATCAACCTGGTTAGAACCTCCCATCCTAGCCGTATCAAACTTCGTACATCCAGGACTGACCGATACGACCGCGCCTTTATCCCTAGGTATAGAGATTGTGAAACAATCTACCTGAGGAGGCTTTTCCCTGTACTGAAAACTTGAGTCAAAAATCGGGTTAACGAAGTTATCTTAAGCTCCTCATAGCAGCCGCGGTGCCCTGGTATTTCAGGTTCTGCCTACGCTCCGGTATAAAAAACCCATTGTCTACCTCTTTTTCACATCTCCCATTTATTTCATTCTGCGGTATTTGAGATTTATTGGAGTCGAGTGATACATCCAAGCAACTCTGATTTTTCCAGACCATTAAAATTGGGTTAGAACGGAGATTCAATATCCTGCTACCGTTCCAAGAGAATATCTGCGCAGTAAATAAAGGATCTTGAACATAAATTTAACAGACGTTAAAAAACAGCGCTTAAAATCTAAAGTGCAATGGTTATGGAAGGTGGTCCAGTGCGAGAGATCTGAATCTAATAGGATCGAGTATTCAGGTTGTTACAGAATGTTTTGGTATCTAGTATCTACAGGCAAATGTGTAAATCAAAGGTCTACATTAACAAAATTCTTTTCAAACACACTTACATCAATGGCGTTCACGGAGGGTAGCGAAGGAAAGGTCACCACCAGCTTTTATAAAAATTAGTATTAATATGATGAAACCAGGCCGATTCCAATTAAAAACGTCATCTTGGGGTTATTTCAGCATCCTATTTATACTTATTAAAAACATATTATCAAAAAGATGTCAAAGTACCACTTTTCAAGCGAAATCAATATGGTTTTCAGAAAATGTTTTCAGTCTATGACATACATATTTTTCCAATTTTTAATTTCTGAATTTGTGCTTAAATTTTTCTAACATTATCCGTAACACTCCATAGTGGTAGGTGTACAAATTATCATATGCCTTGAAATCGGCTAGATTACTATGTACTTACCAAACTAACATCCATAATCCAAATGCAGCTACTATAATGAACTTTATAGATCACAGTTAATGTCAATATCAATTTGAGGTATAGCTGATATTGTTCTACAACTGATTATGTTCTGTAGGAAAGGAAATTGAAATAATAGCTCATCGTTTTTGCTTTTCGCTCAAAATCAGCCAGACCTTTTAGTCCGATTTCATTTTAAGGCAATATTACCAATTATGGCCAATATTCACTCCAAATGGAGCAGATATTGTTCTACCGCTTATTTTCCTTAATAAAGGAGATCCTCGCATTTTGCCACATCCTTTATTTCTACTATTCAACTGTTTACCTCAGGTGGAGAATATCCATTTCAGATAGAGCAGATATTATTCTACCACGGTTTAATTCCCTGACAAAGGAAATACAGTTTTAAAGCTGTGGCTTAGCGCTCTCCCGTTTCGCCCAAAATCGATGGTGCTCCGACTACATTAGATTTTCTCTTGGGAGTCTAGTCAGCGAGTATATGGTTTATGCATCTGCATGGGCGGACAAATATACTCAAATAGACCACCGAGTAATAAATTTTAAATGGGAGTATTTATGTTAGAGGTCCATGTTTACCGGATTCATACAGGATATGAGAACACTACGAATTTTCATAAACGCTCAGTGGAATATACACACCACAGTGTGAGCTTCACTGAAATAAATGACTGATTTTCATGCAGATGATAACTAAATCAGAGTGTTTCTCACCTTCCATTGTCTTGACAGAGTTCCAATTTGACTTTTATGGAAAAATGTGTAGCTCGAAGATAGTAGCGAAAATCGTTGTTTCTAAATTTCTTACATTAGACTTAAACCATTGCAAGAATCTTGTGAAATGGAAAAAATGGCGTCAAGCAGATCGAGTCTATACTACCCACGCCTTCAGAACAATTTCTACAATTTTTTATGTAGTGCAGTGGCATCAGAAGAGGCGTAGGTTTCGTCAGGACCATTAATGCACTATTTGGACCTTTCATGAAAAAAAAATCCACCAGATTGCTGCCAAGAGTGTGTCCGTAAACGGTAGACTCATTTCTTTGGAACTCTGGTGTAGTACTGTTTGTCAACAATGTTCAATAACTGATTATAATTACTCTTGATACGTACTTATATACTATAGAAGGTTTTCCAAAAGTATGGACATACCCAAATATCTCGGAAACCAAGGATGGTGGAAACTTTAAATACAGAAGCTTCAGGAAATCAAATTGCGCATCTAGTGGTGACCTTGAATTTACCATTAGCATGCACCTTGAAGGTGAGAACCCCCATTTTTTATTGCAGAAATAGAAACCTAAAACATTTTCCAATTTCCAATGAACAACGACCATTTAGTACCAAGGCAAAGGAGCAATAGAATTATCTTGAGATTCTATACTTCAAGGGTGGTTAGAATCAAGAGCGTGACAATTTATACCATATTTGATAAAACGAAACATAACTGGTGATATAATATCTAAATAACTTCTAGGTGTGATCTTACCGCATTTAGTTAAGCCTTGGAATATGAAATTTCTCTCTATGTCCTGCACTGGGATCAAAATTGAGGGTTTCCAGTTGAAAAATCAATTTGACCTTGAATTGACCTCCAGGGTCATAGCCAAGGTCAGAATAGAGGTCAGCGTCAGATATGCCGTTGGATGTCCTGCAATTTTCTCATTCAGTTCGTCTTTCG